AGAGAGAGGAGGAGAGGAGAGGAGAAGGGAGGAGAGGAGAGGAGAGGAGAGGAGAAGAGAAGAGAAGAGAAGAGAAGAGAAGAGAAGAGATAGTCTAGTCTTTCTTTGGTCTTTGTAACAAAATTCAGGTCAGTAATGCCATGCTGTCTTTCCTAGGAAAGGGGAGAATAATGCGACAGAGAAAGTAGGGAGTGCAGTTCTGTTGGAAGTTCTTTGATCTGGAAGCAGGTAGAATAGCAGGAAACTAGAAGGTAATGTTGGGATACAAGGTGGGAGGTTTACATTTATTAGGAGACTTATAGGTAACACATTAAAAAACACTTTATATACTTAATAATATATATATGTATATGTATTTTTTAACTCAAGTTAATGATGTTTGTTTTGACATAGGTTGCTACTCATGAAGAAAAAGAAAGAGTCAGATACTTTCCTGATGATGATCATCTAAGTCTGAATGATTTAGTCAAAAATGAAAAGATGGGAACAGCAGAAAGTCAAAACAAACTTTTTATGAGAATGGCATCTAAGGTAAGTTATTCTTGGGATATTTTTAGATTTTGAGGAGCTGGTTCTTCAATCTGTCAATAGTCTACTTTTTAGAGAGATCTGTCTTTCTCTACTCTTGGTTAAGTTTATTAAATGAAATCTTTTATAAGACATGAAGAACGTATTAGAAAAATATACATATGGGATTTGGATTGTTTTTAATTATAGACACTGGTCTATGTCTTTAATGTATTCTATGAGGATTTTAATTTTATATATAGTTTACCACTTAAAGTTTGGGAGAGGTAGCCTGTCTTGTCTTAATGATCTTTTACTTTTTTTGTAATTATGTCATGTTGTGAAAGGAACTGTTTATATATTATGAACTAGAGAGGCATTTTTGGAATACTCTTCAGTTTATTTATGTGAATATATTATATATATGTATATTACTTTAGCACATATCAAGAATAGGCTGAATTTTTGTTTTAAGTAAGATTCATTATTGCAGTATCTTTTGTAGCAATCCTCGCTAAACACTTTTTTCCTATAAAAAAGGGAGGTTATATTTAAACTTAGGCCTGGGACAGGAAAAAAAAAATCAGTGTGTCATAATAGCAAGTTATTTTGGTAGTGGGAGTTTATACTGAGTATTGGAGATATAGGAATGGGAGGGAAAACTTTCTCTGTTTATCTTTCCAAGATTATAATCTTTTAAAAAATATGTAAATGTACTACCTAGTCAAAAATTAACTTAATGAAAACTAGAATAAAGGTAACTAAGGTATCCATGAGTGTCAGAGGTATGACAGGGTGGGAGAATAATATAACTTGGGTTTAGGTAGACATGGCCATTATAAGCACTGCCCACAGTTATAAAGGATCTTAAATGCAATTTCTTACCATAATTTTACATCTGTTTATTTTGGAGAAAATGCTAGAAATGTTCTGGTCTGGAAATTCAGTGCAGAAAAAGGGCATATTTTTATGAGTTTTCATTTTAGAAATGATACCACTTTATACAGAGGACTAAATCACAGTTTCTTAAGGTACTCTATGTTTATATATAAAGATATCCATATTGAAAATTATATTAGTTTATTAATCAATAGTGTTATGAAACACTTATTTATGACAGTTACTGTTCTAGTTAGTAAAATATAGTCAAATGAGTCTGTGCCTATAGGGCTTATATTGAATTTAAACCCCATGAGACAAAGTTGGTGTGTGTGTATAACATACCTTAATTCCTTTTACATCCCTTTTCCTACCCTCATTCCTTGATACTCCTCTTTTTATGGGGAAGTACATGTTTGCATTACTTTCCTTGTGTGGTATTACTTCAAAATCAAAGAAGACCTACACATCTTGTGTATTTATAGCCAGTAGAGCCCCATGGCTTCTATCCACGGTCCTGCAAGCAATAAAATTTTCAAAAAATTAAGTTAATTCGTATAGTTTAGATTTAGATATACACAGTGATCACACTCATCAATAGCATATTTTTTTTAGGAGGGATTTGATATCAGAAATCAAACTCATGCTTTCCAGGCCAGTGCTGCATCAGTGGCCAAATCTCTGGCCCCATCATTATAGTGAATTTGTTTTGGACATGCAATATATCTTAATTCCTTCCCCCAGCCATTCCCTTGTACTCCCTTCAACTGCTCCTCCCTTCCTCATTTATAAAGCTTTGTTTTCATTTTATCCTTCTTTTCTCATTTTTTAACAATTGGATTGCTTTCTTGTGTATTTTTTATTTTCATTTTAATGAGAGAAAAGATAAAACAGCAGTGAGAGAGTTTCAAAACAGGTTAGTAGGACAATTACAATAAAACATTGCATATTGTTGGCTTTTTTATTTTATTTTATTTTTTTCCATAATTTTATTGAGAAACAAATAGAAATGAGACAGTTTCAAACCAAATTGGTAGGACAGTTTCAATAATTAACACATTGCATACATTCATCCTGGTGGCTATTTGCTGTACAAGATGCAGACATGATATCCTATGTACAAACACTATTAAAACAAATCCCTCTATTCATTAACAGAGTGTAAGTATATATGTCTTAACCATTTTGAATACGCAGATACAAAATGAACATTCAT